GACATGACTAGAACAGATCTCATTAAAAATAATGTGGTTTGAAAGACTTTCAGTGGAAATGCACACTTACGATTGACAGGCTTTCAAATTCTGCAACGAATCCTGTCTAATACACCTGGCCTTGACTTCAGAAGAAATCTATGAGAAACAGTTCTCAATGCAAATTTATAACTTTCTAAAGTATGGGAAGATGTTGAGTATGGAGTAGATCTCAGTGCCTGGAGGTACTAATGATAGGTTATTAAACTCTTTCAGTACAGTGGAAAAAAAGAGCACATGCTTAGCTGATATAACATATTAAAATGATCCTAACAATAAACAGCAAACATTTACCATCAGATACTAAAACTCAGCTAAAGCCAAATTCATCTATGAGCTAACTGTCTCACATCCTTCCAGCAACACTGCTGACTGAAGTGTTACATTAGACTGTCTTCACCCGTAGTTCTACATTTCGCCTGTTAAAAATGTTGAAATAAATAGCTACGACAAGTCCAACGGGAATATTATTATGATTAATTCCTTTCCCTATATATGATGCAAATAATTGTTTAATTTATCTGAAATTGTTTTATATTTCCAATTTTTGTATGTTTATTTGAGTAAAGAGAGTGATTTCATAGTTCCTGCTTTTTTTAAATTTTAAGTTAAATACGTTTACATACAAAAGAATGAATTTAGACGTCTACCTCACATCATATACAAAAGTTAACTCATAATAGATCAAAGACCTATATGTAAGAGCTAAAACTATAAAACTCTCAGAAGGAAACACAGATGAAAATTTTCATGACCATGCATTAGACAATGATTTTTTTCAGATATGACACCAAAAGTATGTGCAAGGAAAGAAAAATAGATATACCGGACTTTGTCAAAATTAAAACTTTTGTATGTCACAGAACACTATCAGGAAAGTAAAAAAATTCACAAACTAAGAAAAATTTTTTCCAAATTATGTATCTGATAAGGGAATTGTATCCAGAGTATATTAAGAACCTTTATAACTCAATAATGAAAAAAACACACCAATTAAAAAGTATGCAAAGCACGTGAATAGTCGTATCTCCAAAGAACATACATAGGTGGCCAATAAGCACATTGAAAGATGCTTAACGTTATTAGTCATCAGGAAAATACAAATAAAACTACAATGAAATACCACTTCTTTCATACAGGATGCCTATAATGTTTTAAAAATGGGAAGAAAAATGTTGAGGTTGCAGATAAATTGAAACACTCATACATTGCATACATTGATGGGAATGTAAAACGTTGCAACCATTGTGGACAACAGTTTGGCAGTTCCTCAAAAACTTAAACACAGAATTACCATATGACCCAGTAATTCCTAGGTATATAACTGAGAGATTTAAAAATATATGTTTACATAAAAAGTTGTATATGAATGTTCATTGCAGCATTATTCATTACAGCCCAAAGGTGGTACAACCCAAATGTCCATCAGCTGAAGAACGGATAAACAATTTGTGATAAATCCATACAGTGCAACACCATTCTGTCATGAAAAGGAATGAAGGACTGTCACATGCTACACCATGGGTGAACCTTGGAAACAGTATACTATGTGAAAGAAACTAGACACAAAATGTCATATATTGTATCACTCTGGTTATATGAAATATCCAGAAAAGGCAAATCCACAGGGATCAAAAATGGATGAGTGATTGCCAGAAAGTTAAGAAAGGGGGGAATTGAGACTAATTGCTAAGAGGAATGGAATTTTTTATGAGGGAGATTAAAATGGTCTGAAATTAGATAGTGATGATGGTTGCAAAACATAATGAATATGCTAAAACCACTGTGTGTACTCTTTTAAATGGTGACTTTAACGTTGTGTGAAGCATATCACAATAAAATAATTTAAATGTGTTCATGTATGTCATTTTGGCAGGTTTTTTTTAACTTTTTTTATGAATAAAAAGTCATTTTTTGTAACTAAAAAATTTCCTTTTTCTATGTTACCTTTACCAAATTAGAACACTCCAAAAATACTATATTATGTCAGAAAAAAATTTAAATTATGATTAAGTAGCCTCTAAATGTTATTCATCTTAGATTATTATGCTTAACACTGAAACCTTCACCTTCACATTCAAATTAAGACTCAAGACTTCAGTTACCTGTATAGTTTAAGGAAAAACCTCCTTCTCCAAGTAAATAGGATATCTAACACCTCAGAGAACTAGTTTTGTACCTTTATTCATAGTGTAGCATAGCTTCATAAGCCAGACTGTCTCAATCCTTTTGGTTCATGAGATTTCTAAACGAATCAGGAAATACCAAAGGGCACTTAACTGATGGAGATAATGACTGTCTTAATCACGAAGACAAAAATGCGATCGACTAGGGAGAGGAAGTGAGCATTCCCTAGAAATCTCAATTAGAGAGAGAACATTTTCTTAGATGAAATGGGCATCTCATAGCTTTATGGATGTTGGTAAGTTTATAAAAAAAATGTATATTTGAATGAGGCATACACTGCAGGAAAAGCACTTCATGTAGGGTAAAAGCTCTCTGTTAAAAAGCAAACATTAACCTATATCAATGACTATCAACATACTAATTTTACTCAAGAATAAGGTAAATACCACTTTTAAGTGGAGAAAACAACATGTAAATATCTTCAGGTATGAAAAAAAGTTATAGCGTATACCAATATTATAGCTGACATATTTTAGGATAGCCAATCCTATACAACTTCATCATAATGAGCAAAATGGATTTCTCCTCTGTAAATCTGTGTGTCTTAAAGGGAAAAAAAAAAACCTCTCTCATCTTCTGATCAGCCCTGACTTATCAAATCACAGCCAAAAGCTGAAGTTCTCATAACTATGAGCTTCAAAGTAACGTATGTAACATGAAGTCTCAGAGCCACTGGTGCACCCCTAGACATCCGTCTTGAGAGCACAAGGTTCTCAGACACCCCAGGTCGTGGGGGAGAAAAACAAACAAACATGGGGAATGTCACCCCATTCTCACAATCATCGATTTCTTATTGTTCTGTGACTAGTTAAACTTTTTAAGCTCTTAGTTCTACTCTCCTACCTTTACCTCTAAGAACAAAGCTAAAGGAAACCTTGGGTTTATAAGGAGCTTGGTTCCCAAGTATTTAAAACATTTTATTCAAGTTAAGAGCTTGCTCTTTCACAGCACACAGAAAGAAAAACTGTGGGACACACCCTTCATGAACTAGCCACCAACATACAGCTATTAGTTGCCAGCACAAAGACCTCTGACCTCAGTGAAATAAAGGTGAGTTAATAACAACTTAACTATGCCCCTGTGTTTCACTGACTTATTTTAATGTTAAATAACTTTACAAAGGGCTCACTGGGGTATCTGAACATTTCTTTTCTAGAACTATGTTTTTCTTTTTTAAAAAAAACTTGTTTCTTGTTTTTTTTCTTTTTTCTTTTTTGATGTTGAGTTGTATAAGCTGTTTATTTTGGGGGGGAATTGGGTTTATTTAATTATTTACTTATCTATTTATTTACTTACTTATTTACTTACGTATTTTTTAAATGGAGGTACTGGGGCTTGAACTCAAGACCTCGTGCATGCTAAGCACGTGCTCTACCACTCGGCTATACCCACCTCCCCCACCAAAAAAACTGTGTTTTAATATTTTAAGACCTGATTTTCTTTTTCTCCTAATAAAAGTTATCAAAAAACTGGCCTCACACAGTTTCTGGAACTTCTTATAAATTCTTAATCTACTTTTCTACACTTTAGTTTGAATGTCAAATCATAATAAACCAAGTCCTATGAACGACTATTTATCTGCAAAGCTGTAAATCATGAATTTAAGAAAACAAGAATAGGAGATAAGATTTGAAAGAGATTTACTTATGATGTAACTCTTGCCCATAATTATTTTTATTTTCATTTGCTTTTTAATGCCACATGAGATCATCTGCATTATTTCAGGGCTCCCTCCCTACTCCCACAGAACACTTTTGCATGTTGGAAGTGACAGTGGGAGCATCAAAGGCTAAAATATAAGTTGAAAATCTCTTTTATACAAAAATACAATTTTCTTCTTTTTTTGTTAATTAAAATACCTGATGCTTTGCCTTTATTGTGTGTTAAAGATTGTTGCCTGAGTAGAATAAATATGGGAATGTGTTACATATTAAAAAGAAATTATAGCAAATGAATCCAAAATGTGAATGGACATTTAACTCATCTGGTTAGGAAAATATTATTTTTTTCTAAGTAAGAGTAGGGTACATTGTCTTAGCTAAACTTTTAAAGAATAAGAACTAACATTAAGATATCACCCTTTAGAAACTTGACAAGATGGTGGAAGTACAGTATAATTAGTTTTATTGAATACTGTTGTTCAACCATCATTCAGTAAGATACGATTATAAAGCTCTTTTGTGAATGAGGCATGACAAGAATAAAAAGTTTTATAATTTACTTTTATAGGTAATGAAGAAAGAAAAACACTTTATGATTTTACTATATAAATGGGATAAGAATTTTTTTTATCTTGCTTGGCTATAGCTGCTGTTACTAGGAATAATTAGTAATTTATGCATTACTCTGATATGCCAAGCCCAAATTCCAAGCAGACTTAAATTCTAATTAAAAGGTTCTTAAAAATATGAACACATATATACACTGATACATTTAAAAATACATATACAATCATCCCTGTTATAAAAATGTTTCACTGTAAAAGAATGTGTTTATATTTTTCTTCTAATAAGGCCCCAAAGTACATAAAATGCTTCCTGTAATTATTAACATGTAGTACAAAAAGTCTACACATATATTTCTTCCTTCCTACATCAGTGTTACATGGGGTTTTATTATATACATATATGCAAAGCTTCATACGCATACAAAAAGTTAAATGCTGTACCCACCTTTCCATTTGTAAGAACAAATTTACATATGATATTCACTAGTATATCAGAAAGAAGCTAGACAATGAAGATTTTCAGTAGCACAGAGTTCATCCTACTTACTGTTGAAGTGCCCAGTGAAGATTTTGGAGACCTAATCATTCCAGCAATTGAATGGCGAATAGACTCAAATTTGGATAGCCTCTCCTTTCTTTCCTGGAGAGATTAAGAAAGAAGCCTTCAGCAATAGTAAACTATCCAACACATATACACTTATAGGTATTTAGGTACTTATCCACAGCTTACATTCATCCATTATGCCTTCCAACTAAGTAAGATGTAAACTCCCTATCATTAAAGATGACAAATAACCAAATGCATATAAACTCTACAGCATTTTACCTTCCTGAGCCCTCAATAAATGTCTTCATTAAGGGGGAAGTGGGGAGGAGTGGGGAGCACAATAAGAAAGAAATAGGAATTCATGAGATGAGAGAAAACAAGAAATGCAAAGGAAGCAAACAGAAAACCAAGTATTAGCATGCAGGGGGGAAAAAGACACAAGCTAGAAGGAAACATTCTAACATAAAAGATTTCAGATAGTACTGTAGTTTTGAGGGATTTTCAAGGAAAAAACAAATTGGAAACAAAGAGGAGGAGAATTAGATGGAACACATTTTTAAACAATGAATTCCACTTAAGAGGCCAGAAAGTTTTCCAAAGATTCACATGACGATGATGACGATGAAGACCACGCCGTTCGTTGACAACAAGAGAAGAGGAGAAAGGAGAAGAAGGAAGTAGTGGTAGAACTATCACTAAGGAAAGTAATCCAGGTTGCTGTTTGCTGTTAGATGCATAATTCTGATCACATAACACAACTGAAGGAAATTTTTCCTCAAAATTTCAAAGCCTTAAATCCATTTTACAAACACAAGTGAATGGAGCATATAAGGTAGGAAAGAAGAGAAAGGAGAAAAACAAAAATGAGAACCAGGAGGCAAGAAGGACAATAATGGCAAAGCGTGTGTGAGGATTTATAATGGAAGCATTGACTAATTTTCCAATAATGACTACATATCAACTGTTAGCAGCAGACAAAGAACAAGATATCCTACTGCCAAGTACTGACTTTCCATTTGTCTTCCTTCAGTAGTGATGCTCAATTTTACTTGTCAGCAGCAAATAACTAGAGTAGGCTACAAATAATATCTTTTGTTTCCTTTGTGTCCAATACCTAGCATACGTCTGTGTAAACGAAGACATTTTTGGTTACATGCTGCCTGATAAACACCCTAGTTTCTGAAATGTAACTTCTGTCTCTCTACTTGCCTCTTCTCACTTTATTTCCTTTCATTCTAATAGTTGTGGCACTATTAGTTCACATTACTCCAAAAACATACACCTATTAAAGATTGAAAATAGTCTTAGGATAACCCTGAAACAGAACAGATCATCTCAACTTCTTTTTTAACATCATCATCACTTAAATCATTAATTTGCTTATGATCTATGTAAATCACAAGCTAGAATTCAATTTGATCACTATAAAATGGAAAAAATAATACAAACCTTCCTCAGAGGGAACTGAGAAGTAAATTATCATAAGTAGTTAAAAATTAACACGTTAAAAGCATGTACATATTTAATAAAATTGACTTTTAAAAAATGAATCTTTACTGTAGTACAATTGATCATCACCTTAGGAATGTGAGCACACACTCCACAGCCTTAGTCCTAGCTACAGATTCAGTTTTACTTTTTAGCAGAAATCACTGTAATTGAGCCACAAGAAGTGCTGAAAGAAAGTCTTGAATTACTGAAGGAATACGGTGGCCTTTCATTAGAGCATGTCCATCTTCCACTGGGTGTTTTTTCTTTTTAATCCATTTCTGGCGCTTGAGAACTCTCCAGGAATAAAAACATTCGGGAAGGTAAAAACTGATTTTAAAAAAATATAGCCAGGATATGGAGAATAGAAGAGCGGGGAGGAAGGCACACACAGCAGTTGTTTTGTAATTAGATTTATGAAGAGTAGGTCACAAAGGTGTAAAGCACACACACTGGGAAGTCTGTAGGCCACTACTGACAGGAAGGTAAGATGAAAGTGCCAACCTTGCCGATTTGGCAAAGTTTCACAAGAAAGCTGCAGGCACCTCTACTGTAAATTCAGGCTTCTCCTCTGAGTCAGTGCTCTCAAAATATTACAGAGAGTATAGTCCCCACGCACTATAAGAACAGAACAGAAAATTGCATGGGAGGTTAGGCAGAAAAGCAGAAAATTAAGGGAAGAGTCTCAAGTATTAGAAACCATTTTATTTGCATATTATTTAATAATATCCCCTGAGATGGTAAAAACAAAACAAAACAAAACAAAAAAAAACCTCTCCTTAAGCTGTATCTTAGGCATCAAACCCTACAAATGATGAAAGAGAACAATTTCTCCCCAAACCCTTTAATAATACTAAAAAAGAAAACATTTTCTTAAGATGTTATTATTAGAGAAGACTAATGGATAGTTCCAGGTGTGGGGTAAAGAAGACGTCAAAAATTGCTTCCTTCAATATTGTTACAAAGCATAATATATAGTGTGCTCAAAGGGATATGATTAACGAAAGCACTCTTTCATTTAAAGGTACTCTTTAAATAGGCTGATACAAAAAATGTATTATCAGAAGCAGTAAGTAGACTTTAAGTTTCATACAGGAATAATCAATAGGGTTTATAAAACATTTTAACCAGTGTCAGCTCACTCGATGCCCAGATTTCCACAAATAAAACATGGAATTCACTTGCTAAAGCTCTAGTCTTTACGTATCAGTTTTACATATCAGCTTTAAATTGTGGTCTACCTAACAACACATCAGACTATGTCAAATTCACTGATAGGCTGATTTTTGTATCAAAGAATTAAATGGTACTTAAAAAATTAAAATTAAAATTAAAAAGCTTCCATCCAATTACCACAAACACAGTGCCTAACTTTGCCTGTTAGCCTGTCAAGGCTGGAAGTGATATACCCATTTTATCCACCTCAAGTAGTGACAAGGTAAAGAGCCTTTTCCAGATAAACAGAGATGCGTTTTGGCCAAAGGACAGTGGAGGTAGGTGAGGGCCAGTGAGGCGGGTAAATAAGAGGCAATGTTATAAAATAATACCTGATGTTATAAAGTAATATTATGAATAACATTCATAAAAATGCTGAAAGTACAGCTGTAAATCTATTTTGAAAGAAAAGTTCTAGATGC